ATATCCCACAGCTGAGAGCAATCCCTCACCATGAAGTGCTCTCAGCAAGAAGAGAGTTCACACCTCTCAGAGGCACCTTGCATGTCCTGTCTGAGGCCGAGATTCGACCTGTGAAGATCAATGCCACGTATGAAGACCACCCTCGACTGTTACCAGCACCATCTTCTACACGCCCGAACTCCTTAGCGGCCGATACCATTTCTTTTAGAGCTGAGGTATAATGTCATTCGATCGATGCTGCTGCTGTCAGTGACATACCCTCCGTCGCCCCCTGCAGAGTCTTCAACTCTCCCCTCAACGTTAGCTTCTCTTCGTTATCCTTTCGAACGCGTTCGAGCTCTTCCACGGCTGCTTCCCGCTCCTATAGGTTAGTCTACCCCTCGGCCTCATCAATACCGCTTACCTTCTCCATCGCTCTCGCCTTGTCTTTCCAGTTCTCTACTTCCGCCTAAAGAGAGCGTCGATCCCCGATGCCCGACCGTGAGGTTGTATCACCCTTAAAACCGCGATACGATCAAGGTCCGCTGACCGTGAGTCGACTGCAACTAACATGATAGGATAGTTAACCCGATCCTCCTCTACGAGACTCACCTCCCTCTTCAAACCGCCGAAGCTTCGCCATTACACCGTCCGGTAGATCCGGAAGTCTTCCCTGCTCAGCTGCTCCCGAGACCATGGTACTCGTAACAGGCGGCTCCTCGAGACGGTTGACCGACTGCTTCGACGCCGATGGCCCCCCTTGGAATTTTCGCTTCTGAAACACTTCACCTGACTCCTATCGTCTGCTACTCCTCTCACTCGACTTCCATCAGCAGTATTGAAGCCTTCTACCCCTTCGGTATCAGCTTGCTGCTTACAGATAATCCTCAACGTACTGAGGACCCCTTCATTCGAGCAAGCCTTGTACCGCATACATCCTTGAGATGAACGATAGGCCCTGCAGATGCTATAAGATATGCCATCCCGAATGGCAACACTACCAACTCCTCAGAGTCTTGTGGTAGATGATGCCGAATCGCTTCCTCACTGCCTCACGAAATTCCCAATCCCTGGCGACGCCCTCAGGCTTAAGAATCTTTGGATTTCGACGCAAATGATCCTGATGACAATTTCTTAGGACTTCCCATCACCCTAGTCACCTGGATCATTTCATCCATATGCTGCATCCGTTGAGCTTCCTTCAGCCTCAGACTCGACCGGCGAACCTTCACCGAAACTCGCAACAGCTATCCCACTGAGAACTCTTACTTGAATCGGCTCCTGCACACACTGTCTGATATCGCTGGCCTCACGCATATTCACACCTCGACAAACAATCCCTTCAAAACACCGCGATAGTAACAACTCTACACAGTAGAAATGTCGTAGAAACACTATCGATTCTTGAACGCTGCAATGGCCTCATCCTCCTCCTTACTTTCCTTCTTGTGCTTCTTATTCTTCTTATGATGATGCCTTTTACTCTTCTTAGTGGCACGGCTTCTAAAAACAGCAATAAAACTGCCCGCAGCGTCACCTCCTACCCCTTGCTCGTCGCGTCAAATGCAGAATAGCTGCCGGCACCATCCTGCATCGCAAATGATGACAGACTGGCTGAAGACATTCCAGGGGGTAAAGAAGCATAAGTCCAGTCGCCTGATGGCCAACTTGAGCAGCGGCAAAGACAGAGAATACATTCAACGTATTGATGATCTCATCTGTG